GGTCTTATGCCGTGCAAAGTCTAATTTCATGTCAGAGATTAAGAGCATGATTTGTCATTTCAGAGACGCCATCATTTCTGCGGCCCCTGTTAGATCGAACTGTGACCAAGGGGGAAACAGCCGTCCTGCAGTGCATCGCGGGAGGGAGCCCTCCTCCCAGGCTGAACTGGACCAAGGATGACAGCCCTTTGGTGGTCACTGAAAGGCACTTTTTTGCAGCAGGCAACCAGCTGCTAATCATTGTGGACTCCGATGTCAGCGATGCCGGGAAGTACACGTGTGAAATGTCTAACACCCTGGGCACTGAGAGAGGCCACTTGCGCCTCAGCGTGATCCCCACCCCCACCTGCGACTCCCCCCAGATGACAGCCTCGTCGCTGGACGATGACAGATGGGCCACCGTGGGCATCGTGATCATAGCGGTGGTTTGCTGTGTGGTGGGCACGTCGCTCGTGTGGGTGGTCATCATCTACCACACCCGGCGGAGGAACGAGGACTGCAGCATCACCAACACAGGTGTTAGACGGCAGCCTGGCGCAGGGTGCGGGGCCGTGTGTGTGTGCGCATGTGCGTGTGCACGGTCCCGCCGTGATTTCTTCCTGGAGTGTGTGTCTCGCAGTCTGAGGCCGTGTCACAGGGGTGATTCATTTGTTTCAAGCTGCAGAGCTACAGTTAGCTCCAGGTAACACCCCAGCACAAAATAAAGCTGATGGTTACAGATGAGTGCTTTTTGTTACAGCCTCATCAGAGTATCCTGTTGGCTCTCAGAGTCAGTCCAAACCACGGCGTAAACCCATCTGACAGGGTGGTGACGGAGGGCCGGGAACAGCCCTGCAGTCGTGAGGCTTGTCCTGGGCCCTCGTGTTTTGTTTTGTCACGTGTGACTGCATATGCGCGTGTGTGTGTGTGCAGGTATCTGGTATGGTGGGAGCGGAGCTTTGACCTAGGTGTGCAAACTCCTATATCGATGACTAATACTAAGGCAGGGATGTGGCAGAAATCAAGCTTAAATCAAGAGCTTGGATGTGATCCCACGAAAATGGCCACGCCTCTGTCTGTAAACATCTGTTGTGTTTGCGATGCGGGAGGGGTGTCCCGCACGCTGTCGAGGAGAAGGTGGGCGCAGGCTCGCCGTAGCCCAGTACTGCTCAGTCAGGACGGTTTGCACGAGCAGGTTGATTGGACCTGAACAGAAAACTAAGCAGTGCAGACGCTCATCGGGGAAGCCTGTGTGGCAGTTACCATCCGTCTCGGTTAACAGGATGCCGTTGTTTGGTTGCAGATGAGACCAACTTGCCGGCTGACATCCCTAGTTACTTGTCATCTCAGGGAACGCTAGCCGACAGACAGGATGGGTACGTCTCCTCAGAGAGTGGGAGCCACCACCAGTTCGTCGCTCCTTCAGGAGGCGCGTTTTTCTTACCACAACATGACAGTAATGGTACGTGTTTAAAACGAACATGGGCTGCGGTTGCCTTGAAATAACCCAATAGAAAGGTCCAACATAATCTTGATTTTCACAAGAAATTGATACACTCGTGTGTTTAGAACCTGGCCGAAGATCACTAGCAAAGCTGACGTGAAATAGCTGGATGCCTTTCTCTTACACACTGGAAAAATCTTTGTTTCCAGCAATTAAAAGAAGAGAAACAGGCTAAGCAAATTCAGTTCCTCTATGCGGCGTGATACGTCCTTTATGTTGTGAATGTTCTCTGGCCCTGAATGTTCTTCTTACTTAAACGACGTTCAGCTGGTTTCATGCATGGTCTTAAAAGTCACACGACTTAAGATCATCCTGTAGAGACATCTGACTGACTGCCGCGTGAAGACCTGTGCGGTTTGAAGCGTGGTGAGGAGGGGACGCAGGCGCATCGGCCGGTTCAGGGCCCTCTGCTCACGCTGCCCGTGTGTCCTGGGCAGTTGCGATCCTTCCCGCTCAGGGTGTTGTGAACACTGGATAGGATGATAGTGGGGGACCAGCTGGTGCTGGGCACAGATTAAGGGCTCAACACATGGAAGCTGGTGACGTTGTTTTAAAACATTTTACTGTCTTCCCACAAGCACTGGTTGAGTATCTGGTCTGTGGCCGACTCTGCAGCTGGGATGAAAGACTGTCTTCAGTTTCACCGTTTAGTCAGTAGTGAGACAAAACCCTCAATGAGGAGTCGCGAAGTGCTTGGCAGGGCAGCGGTGGAGGGTATAAACTTACAGGAGAGAAGATGGGAACACAAAAGCCGGTGGTCTGTGAGATTTATTTGGTTGCAAAGAACCGAGGCCCAAGCTCATTCAGATGGAGCAGGGTTGACCAAAAATTCGTTTACAAACACCTAAGGGACAGCTGGAGCAGAACAGCGCCGCGCCGCCGGGATGCTGGGGCCAGGCTGGACCGGGCTCTCGGAGCAGTCCTCAGGGCCCCCGGCGTTGTCGGGTCACGTTCTGGGTGTTTGCTTCTCTCCCAGACCCCCGACTGCCTGGCTCCTGCTGCCCAGACACGTGGTCCGTCACCGCAGCTACACCCTCACGGTAGCTCTTGTCCTTCCAGTGCTGTGTCTGTGCCCACTCAGCATGTCATTTCTGGGTGGTTGAGCTCAGGCACTCAAGATAGGAATTTTTTTTTTCTGGCTGAGCTCATCTTTGAGCTGGGCACTAAAGGTCATTGATTAGGTGCCAGTCCTTCATCCTGGTCCTTAGTGACTTTCTGGAGAAGGGGGCAGTGCTGGCGGCATCATGTGGTTCAGACCATGGCTGCTGTGGCTGCAGTGTCCTTATGCAGATCGGGTTCTCTTGGAAACCAGGAGACGCCAGCAGCCAGGTTAACACATCCAGCACAGTGGCTAATCAAGTCCCCTTTTAGTAAAATATTTACTCAGTTACTGATCCATAGGCCTTGGTACATTTTGAAAAAACTCTACCATTAGTTTCTGCCATTTTATCTTTTATGTGGTATTCTGTCTAAACTTTTCATCTATACGTATGGAAAATGTCAAAAATGGAGAGAATGTTGAGTGATACTTGAACAAAATTAGCACAGTGACTAAGATGTATGTTTTCAAGGGCCATGCCACATTGACAACAGCAGCGAAGCTGATGTGGAAGCTGCCACAGACCCGTTCCTTTGTCCCTTCTTGGGACCCACAGGCCCTGTGTATCTGAAGGGGAGTGTGTACTGCTCAGACCCTTTCGAAGCCTACCATCCAGGTACGTGGGTCTCTTATCTGGAGGGGATTTTATTTCCTGGTTGGGCTTCCAGAATCACTCACTCTGTCTCTGGATGTTGTCCCCACGTTAAAAAGGTTGCGGTCCTGACCCGAGAACAGCTTTAATTGACCACTGCGAGCCCAGTTACATAAAGAAAAAGGAGTGCTGCCCGTGTCCTCAGCCTACGGAAGAGCCCTGCGAGCAGAGTGTGGGTGACTTAGGGTGGCCTTCCCGCGTGAGGAAGGTGCTCGCCTCTCCTCTCTCCCAACACGAGGGGCCCGGAACGAACACCTTAAGTCTCAACAAGTCTTCTGTAGACTTCAGTGCAGGCCCAGAGCCAGCGCCACTTACTCTGAGTAATTCTTTCCTGGGTAAGTTTATGCAGCTATTAGACACCTTGACTCAGCACCCACATTCCCAGTTGCACAGGGGAGAGCAGTGAGAGCTTTGAAGGCCAGACTGCTGAAAAATGGTTTTTGGTGGCGGTGTTTTTTTTTAATGATGCCGTCATGACAGCCAGTTAGTTAGTATACACGTTTCTAAAAGCAAAGGCAGACTTTTAAAGGAGCTTTTACTTGATTATGCATTTAATCCCGCGCTGAGCCTCAGGGACTCTCTGGGCAGCACTGTGTGTGGCATCGTCCAGGAGACAAGAGATCTGCAAGTGACTTAGGCGCCCCGCTGGTCAGCCATGCGGAAAAAGCAGTGTGGGGCTGCAGCAGTCTCTGGGGTGGAGTTGTGTGCGTGGCACGATTGTGGCTGGGGATGTCTGGTGGCTTATGACTGAGCCCACAGCTGAAGAGTAGACCGCGTCCCACCTGGCAACGGCTGCCCGTCAGCCAGGCCGGACCACCTCCTGCGAAGGGGTCCGTCAGCGCCTTGAAGCCCTGGGTGGTGCTGGGAGACACGGGCTGGCCCCGAGATTCCGTTGTGGATTTTTCAGTCTAGTACGTGGGGATGATGGGGTGGAAGAACTGAGATCATCTTTTCGCTGCATGGAAATATGGAAAAATGAACCACAACATTTAGGAAAAAAATAGAATTTTAAGATATTTTACCCAGCTTTTAAGAAATGCCTTGCTTTGTCATGGTATATTTATTTAATGTTCCTTTTTGAAAAGTGAAAATATCATATATGACTGAGGCAAAAATTTGAGTCAATAGAGTAATTAACTTGCTACTAAAGAAGAAAGGGCAAGACATAAGGATTATTTTGAAAGAAATGTTCTACATTCAGACACAGTTTACTTGTGTGTAACTATCCCAGTGTCTTTTGTGGAGAATTGTGGGCTCTCAGTAAAGCTAGGATTTGGGAGAACTTCTGTTACAGAATATCATGCTCAACAGTTAGTGTTACTGTAGGTCATGAGACGTGGTCAAGAATGGATGCTTGTATTCAGTGGGGGTACACTTAAGAGGGGTGCAGGTGCCCCCAGCTCCGTTCTGTAAGGTCTGTCTCCACAGCACAGACACGTACGTCCACCGGAGTCCCCTAACATGGGCTTGTGCGAAGCCCGTACGGTGTTCACATTCACAGGCTAAGGAGCTCCTGCACTTGAAACCCATTTTGCTGAGTTACATGCTAACAGCAGGACCCATGTGCTCAAGGGGTTTCTTTCTTGCAGGAACATTTGGAAAGCCTCTGAGGAGACCTCGCCTGGATGTCTTTCCAAGCCCTGGACGGTCATCGGATTGTCCGCCAAGAGCCATTCACTTGAAAGCTCGCTCTTCCCCGAGCCTGGACTGTGAGTCAGAGGAAGAGGGGAGAGAAAGGACAGATTTTCAGCAAGAAAAGCACACACGTACCTATAAACAGACCTTAGAAAACCACAGGACTTCAAATTTCCAGTCTTATGACTTGGACACATAGACTGAATGGAACCAAAGAAGAGTTCTGACTTACTACCTCAAGTGGACTTCTATTTAAAAGAGAGAGAATTCTATGTTTTTAATGAAGTTACGAATTTTAAAAGGGTAAAATGTCTTATTTATACAGAGGGACCAAAATTACAAAAAGTTATAAAAATTTTATACTGGGAGTAACTTTCATATAAGAATACCTTTTAAAACTATTTTACTATTTTATAACTTTGCTTTATGCAAAAAAAAGTCTTATGTAAATTAATGGTATAAATCCATGACTATTTTATGTATTTTTATAATGCCAGATTTCTTTTTATTGAAAATGAGTACTAAAGCATTTTAAACAATACCTGTCTTGTACGCGTTTTGAATAGAGGTCACTTCATTTTCTTTTGCACGTTACATTCATTAAAATGTGTCATTTTTATCCCAAGTCGCATCTTCGTAATAACAATTTTTATTGTTTTCAATACATTTTAGGCTTAATTACTTCATATTATCGTGTCTCACATTGGTGAAAATTATATTCAGCACATTAAAATATGAGCAAAAAATGATCATTCTGTGTACCCCCCAGGGCTATTGTAATAAGGCTCAAATCAGGTTAGGATGTGTGAAAGCACATTGTAAACGAGGAGGAGCTACAAGGACCAGAAGGTGCATTGCTTTATTTCTGACTCTGCAGACAAAAAGATGGGTTGTTGTAGGCTCATGTAATGTAGTACAACTGTTGTTTAAATCACTGCTCAAACCCTGTTTCCTTCATTGTAATAATGCCTTATGTGGTCTAATTCTTTGTGCTTTTCCAAATAGTTTCACACCCACCATCCCTTTAATTATACCAGGAATGGCTTATGGCACATTTCTGTAGTAGAAATGCCTACCGCAGACATGGGTTTTGATCCAGTGTTGCAGGTTTTAATGGCATGCTGCTAGAAGTCTTCGCTGTTCCTGTTGATTTTCTGCTGGACAAGCAGTTCTTACCAAAAAGGTACTCTTAAGCTATTTTGCAGCATTCTTTAAGAATTCAAATATTTTCCCAATGTGCTCATTGCAGCTCTCCTTGTTAGACACTGAGTATCCAATCTGTTACTTAAACAATTATTTACATTATTTCATTTAAGCTATGTTCATGTGAAAATGTTATGACATGAGTGGCATATATATACACACACACACACACACACACACACACACACAAGAATATAGTCATTTTCAAAATGAAGTGACATAGTTTGAAGTAATTAAATGAGACAAACGATTAAATTTAGTAACTTAGTAAACCTTTTTTGTTTTGATTTGGTTTTTTTGGTATATCCTTGTTCATCTATCTGTAGTTTAAAGAAAAACTCCCTGGCCCAAGATAAAATTGGGCTGGAAGAAGTTAACAGAGTACATTAAACTTTACAATCTACTGACCTGTTGAAGGTGTGAATTGATGTCATTGTCAGGTCTTTGAACTAAATTGAAAGCACGTATCAGAAAAGCAGGCTCTCCTCAGAGGATGTGCTGGGGTCACATTTTTTCCTGCCTAGTGAATTAGAGCTTCGTTGTTTGTGGGCCAGCAGCCTGGAACCCAGATTGCAGAAAGGTTTTCCTCCTTTAATTTAGACACCGGAGTCCAGGCAGGAAGTTGATCCTTCCCGGGACCACCAGTGACTAAGTGCAGAGAAGTGATTTCCTATGCTTTGGCTTTATCATATTGCCAGATTTTCAAAATCGTGTTAATTTGTCTTCATTATTGCCAGATGTGATGCCTGCATCGATAAGGGGTCTGCTCCATGACTATGAACTTCTTTTAAAGGATTAAAGTTTTCCAGCACGAAGGTTGGAAAACTCCTGAAATTAAACTCCTGAAATTCAAAAATTAGATTGACTGTGCATTGACGTGGTTTTTCCCTTTTACTCTGCTTGTGGGCTGAAATGTATGGATTGCATGTAATCGTAGCTGTGTGGAGAAACAGCAGGAGCTTAACTTCTCTGACGTTTGCAGGAAAAGAATATATATAATTTTGAGGCTCCATGTTGAATTAACAAAGTAAATCTAGTAGGTATTAAGATAGCCTAAAATAACATAGACTTAAAAAAATGTAGATAAATATCAATTTGGCTTAGTTATGAGAAGGAATGCTTGAAGTTTTCAGTTTAATCATTCTGTGCTTTCTGATACCAGGCAATTCTTTACAGTGTATCTTAATAGATTTTCACACAACTTTTGTATCTTTTTTCTCAATTCCACTATTGACACTAAATGATGGGCTATATATACTGTGTGTAATCTTACCTGTTTTTTGAGATACTGGGAAGAAATATTCCTTAATTGTGGCAGGCAACATTTTATAAAAATTAAATATCTGTGGGACAGCACCATTTATTTTCACAGTATTTCTACAGAAAGAAACCGAAAGTTATTTCTCAGAATAAAGCCAACGGTAGGTACCATTTTTAAAAACTCAATAGAAAAAAGAAGGAGTGATTTGGTGTTTGTGCATACTTGAGGGCTTTTTTTTTTTAACTCCTTTTGATTTAATATAGGAAGTAATTGATAACCAATATTACAATGGATCTGCTACCCTGGTGTTTTTCAAAGAGAATGAGAACCAAATGTCGTTGCAAAATGCCTGCTCTGTCCCTCCTGCTCTTGGAATCTGCAGTGACTCGACTTGTGTAATGCATAATTTAACACAATATTTTTTAAGACAGCATTCTATTAACACATTGAATAACACAATGTCCTGCCAAAAAAGCTATTAGAGTCTTCAAAGAGGGGAACAGTTTCTTCATGAATTGAAATTTCAGTATTTCAGAAATATCCCATTACCAGAACTTATCATTTCTGTGGGGCATTTCTTTAACCAATGTATAATTAGAGAGAACCGAAACAAGCTTGAGAGGTTGCAGCTCTGCCCTAAATTCGCATAGTGGTTCTTCGGTAGATATTTTCTTTTAACAGGGAAGAGGATTTCCCCACGTATATTTACTGAATTATCTCAAGTTATCCCAATATTGGGCGCCATTTATTTTTTGCTTTTAATTTTGAGAAATGTGATACTGGTGGCGTGTCTTTTAATGAAGAGGCTTGATTTTACCTGACATATATTATCAAGGTACAACATACGTGGAAGTCTATATTACAGATTGAAAGGTATACAATTTATCAAACACATTCTTAAAATTGCAGAAATCCTAAGTTCTCCCACTCCTGCTCTCTTTAGTATCAAGGATCTGACTTCTGTATCTTGAGTTTCATATCCTCCCATATAATGACTGATAGGAACACAAGAAATTATAGCTAATGTTCACATGTACCTTTTTCTTAGAATTACATTTTTTAATTTAAAGAATTTTTGAGAATGCATTTTAAAGAAAAAAGCAAAGCGACTCATAACTGTTACAATTTCCTTTTTGGATTTCTTCTATAACTTTTTTCATGTATCTTATTTCATGGTTGATTTTGTCTTTTAACAAACTTAAAACACTTTTTTAAAAATCATGTTTGAATATAACACCTAGTGCCTTCATGACATTATTGATACTGTTCTGGCAGTTATTTTAGTATCTCTGCATATGGCTGTGTTTTCTATCTACAACTCAGAGTTGAAATTCTTTTTTTTGGTGGCAGCTAGTTTATTAAGCTGTGCCTTAGTATAGGCGCTGGTGTGCCTTAATGTACACCATGGTGTACATTAAGGTGCTCTTAATGTACAAAGCACGGACGTTCTGCCAATTTTTCTTGAACAATGACACCAGGAAATTGACAGCTAAGTGGATGTTATGCACAAGCTCATCATTGTCATTTTCACATGGCCAACAGCCACTGCCAGACACAGCAGCTTCTTCATCTGGAACTTGACTGTGGACTTCACTTCGTCAGCGTTGGCCGCCACATTCTCACTGTGGGCCAGCAAGGAAGGGAACTTGCCAGCCTTATTCAGACCTGGGCCCACGGTTCTTGGGATCTGCTTGATCAGAGACTCTGAAGCCAAAAAGGCAGCATACTTCTTGGCCAGCTTCTTAACTAGTTTCTTATTCTTGTTGAGCTTCTTCAGAGCCTCGATGTCCACGTGGGGGATATCCACAGCCTTGGCCTCATCACAGTGTCGCTGGTCCCCCAGAACACATGCGGAGAGCTTGGGGCGGGGAGTGGACTTCCGCCTGACGGTGCCCGAGAAGCACTTGTCCTTCTGAGCGTCGTCGTTCTTCAGGCTGATCTGAAGTTCCACTGTCTCCAAAAACTTCCGGCGCTTGTGCTGGTTCCCGTGCAGGACTTCCCGCACCGCCTCATACAGGGTGTCACGGGAGACCTTGCCGCTCACGATGCCTTGCCCCGCTAAAGCCGGAAAAGAGCCAGAGTTGAAATTTGGTAACAATACACTATCAGTTGTCAAAGTTGTTTTTTTAATACTCTTCGCTGTACGTTTTGCATAGGTGGTGTGAAACGAGTAAAATGATCCTTGTCCCATCTACCAGTGGGGCAGGAAGCAGGTTCATAAATAAACGTTTATGATGCGTTGCATCAAGTGCTGCAGTCTAGCAGGGCGCCCGTAACAGGCGCTGGTTTGTCTAATTCTGACTGAACTATCTAGACGTGTTACGTGCGCTTCACTCAGCATTTCCCCCTATTACCCAGTGTCCCCAGACGGTTCCAGGTCTGCGACTCCCTTTCTTGTTCCATCATCCATCAGTCATCACCATTCCTGTTGTTTTGCACCTGAGTTTTCTTAAGGCTGTTTTTATCTTCCCTCTTCGTCTCACTGCCGCAGCCAAGTTCAGACCCTTCTCCATCTCTTGACGGTGGTGTCTTGTCCCTTGTCTCTCAACGCAAGTCATTGTTTCACTGTTTCCAGAATGATTTTTCTAAAATAGATCTGATTGGTCACTATCCTGTTTTAAAATCTTTGATGACTAAATCTTCAATCTTAGTTACAATATATAAGACCTTTCACACATTGATCCCAGCCCACCCTTCAAACCACCCCCATCCGAACTTATGTGCAGTCCCCATAACCAGCCCCTATGCACCTCTGTGGCTTTATTTTGAAATGAACAGCTTGGAGTTAGAATTTGGTAACAATACTGTCAGTCGTCTTCGTGTTTTCTCGTCTATAATTCGGCAAACTTTTTTTTTCAGTGGCTACTATGCTAGGCACTGTCTTAGATGCTGGAGCTGTAACACCATTAAAACAAACATTCTTCCCCCAAGAAGCTCCTAGACAAATGACAAAATCAGGACCCTGGAATGTTTTTTGTCTTGTCTGACAGAATCCAGCCCCTTTTTCAAAACCAAGCCTTTCCATTCACCCCAAACATAGCAACTTCTTCTCACAGGGCTTCCTATGAACCTCTGTGAGAAAAACCGTAGGGAAGCCGTTAATTGCAAAGCCAGCTGTGATGTCATCGTGTGAGAAATGCTAAGGACAATTAACCTGTAGGTCAACAGGACATCTAGGAAGGAACAAAGTAACTCAAAAGATCGGTGGGGTTTTTTAAAAACAATCACCGGATAATTTGTTCCAGCACTTGGCAGGAAAATCAACTCATGTTCAGTCTGCTAAAGGTAAACAGGTGGCCAGGTGTGTCAACAGATTTTTTTCCTATGGCTGCCTCACTGTTCTCCATTTCTCAGCCACCTTAGGGTTAGGAATGTCTGTACCCACAGGACCTTTCTGTCCAGTGGAATGTGAGCAGAGGTGTGTGCCACTTTCGGATCTGGTCTGCCAAGCCTTCACACACACACACACCCCCCTCCACGCCCTCTTCCTGCGGCTGTCTGGTGGGAAAGCCATGGCCCAGAGCTGCTCTCCCTTGACCACCCTCTGCAAGAGCCTGTCGGGTCTCTAAGTGACCGTGTGCAATGTGGCCTCCCCACCCACCTGGAATAGCTGCTTCGAAGCCCTACTGGAGTGAGGAAAAAGTGTTTATAGCACTTGAACATTGTATTTTGGGTGTGCATCGTATAGCAGTCCGTCCTGCCCCCACTTGAAAGTCATTTTAATGTGAAGAATTGCCCACAATGCCCACTGTTCTTCATTTATTTAGGCTCTCTTTTATTTTTGTGTGTGTGTGTGTGTGTGTGTATATATATATTATATATATACAATTATATATATATTGTATATATATAATATATATATACACACACACACACACACATATATATATTATATATATACAAATTATATATATATATATATAATTGAAGTATAGTCAGTTTACATCTTGTGTCAATTTCTGGCGTACAGGATAATGCTCAGTCATACGTGTACATACATACATTCGTTTTCATATTCTTTTTCACCATAAGATATCACTACAAGATATTGAACAGTTTCTGGTGCTGTACAGTATGAACTTGTTATTTACCTATTTTATATATATTAGTTTCTGCAAATCTTCAACTCCCAATTTACCTCTTCCCACCCGCTTTCCCCCCTGCTAACCATAAGTTTGTTTTCTCTGTAAGTCTGTTTCTGTTTTGTAAATAAGTTCGTTTGTCTTTTTTTTTTTTTAGACTCCTCATATAGGTGATATCGTATGGTATTTTTCTTTCTCTTTTTGTCTTACTTCACTTATAATGACAATCTCCAGGTCCATCCATGTTGCTGCAAATGGCATTATTTTTTATGGCTGAGTAGTATTACATTGTATAAATGTACCACAACTTCTTTATCCAGTCACCTGTTGATGGACATTTAGGTTGTTTCCATGTCTTGGCTGTTGTAAATAGTGTGAAATTCATACAACTTAGTAAGAAAAAAAACAACCCGATCCAAAAATGGGCAGAGAACCTAAACCAGTAATTCTCCAATGAAGACAAATAGCCAACAGGCACATGAAAAAATGCTCAGTATCACTAATTATCAGAGAAATGCAAATCAAAACTACAATGAGGTATCACCTCACACCAGTCAGAATGGCCATCTTTCAAAAGTCCACAAACAAACACTGGAGAGGGTGTGGAGAAAAGGGAACCCTCCTACACTATTGGTAGGAATGTAGTTTGGTGAAAACAGTATGGAGATTCCTCAAAAGACTAAAAATAGACTTACCATATGATCCAGCAATCCCACTCCTGGGCATATATCCAGAGGGAATCTTAATTCAAAAAGCTACATGCACCCCAACATTCATAAGCTCCCTTTTTAAAATGAACAGCTTGGCTTCAGTGGCCAACCCTACCACTGATGCCAGGTTCTGGCAGATCAGGAAGACTGACCCTCACTTTTAGTGACTGAAAGTCCTCTTGCAGAAGTACATCCTGAAGTTACTTCAGTATCCTGTTTCCCTCTTGGACACGGACAGTTTTCAAGGATGTTTGTCTAGTGTATTTGGTCACCAGGATCTTTGCACCTGTGTTTCAAGAACTCTCAACTCCTAACAACAGAGCAGCAGCAATGTGATAGGCTCTCGGGATATCAGAAATGAAGGCGACATGGCCAGGATCCCAGAAGGAGTCTGCTCTTGAGGGAGGCACACTTGCATTAGACAGTGATGATTTTCTTATGGTAAAAATTGTAATTAAAGATACTCACATGATCAGTTCATTAGTGGGCATGATTTGCCCTTCCTAGGACACGGCTGACACCCAAAGGTAAAAAGTGCTGTTGCCCAGACGGCATAGGTCCTCTGAGTGGCTTTGTAATTTACATGAGGCCACTCTTTTGGTCTCTTTCACTGAAGCTCCTTCCACAACCGACTCCTTAAAAAGCAGGGTTGGCAGGAGGACATAGCTCAGTCGTGGAGTGCATGCTTAGCATGCCCAGGGTCCTGGGTTCAATCCCCAGTACCTCCATTAAAATAAATGAACCTAATAATCCTCCCCCAACAACAAAAAAATTTTTTTAAAGTTTCTTCAAAAAAATAATAAAAACAATGTTGCTCAGGGCTTCACCTGAAGTGCTTAAAGCCAATCCATTCTACACCAATTTGATTTTTTATTTGCTTGGTGTATCTTGTCTAATCCTGTCATTTTCAGTCTTTCTGTGTGATTTTTAAAGTATGGTTTTAGTTACCTGAGGTGTCTAAAGTGATCCAGTTCATAGATATAGTAAGTAGAATGGTGGTTACCAAGAGCAGGGGGTTGGGGACAACATGGGAGTCCTTGACTAACAGGTTTAGAGTTTCAGATTTATGGGATGAAAAAATTCTGGCTTCACAACCATGTGAATACACTTAACGCTACTGACTCATACACTTAAAGTGGTTAAGATGGTAAGTTTTATGTTGTCTTTTCTTTTATAATAATAAAAGAAGTTATAATCAGAATGTACCTGAAAATTTTCTCAACATGGTATTCTGTAGTTTTTAATAGAGAAGTTCAAGCTGTTACCATTTCAGATAGCTAACATATTTGGAATCATTCCTGCCATTTTATTTTGTTCTGTTTCCTATCCTTTTCTGTGCTTTCTTCACTTCTCCTCTTCCTAACTTCTGTTACATTGATGAAATTTTCCTTGTTTATTTTAATTTTCCTTCTTGGGTTTTTTTTTTCATTCTTTGGGAAGTTACCACGAAAATTCTGACATGTTTCTCTCTCTCTTTTTCTTCTTTTTTCCTAACAAAGGGTGAAGCTTTTCTGTCCTCTCAAACAAGGTAATAACTTAAAACTCATTTGTCTCACACACTGAGTTCCCACCACTTCCTTTCACCCACACCATCTCCGCTGATGTTTCCAGATTCTTTTTGCATAATTTGTAGACTGTCCAACAGATTTTACCATCCCTTTAATCATTTTTGTTTTCATATTTAATTTCATTAATTTTGGCTCATTTTTCCTTTTGATGAACTATATTATTTGAGAATTCTTTTAACCTGTTGAAAGCTACGTTTTCATGGTTTTCATGGGTCTAACGGTGTCTTCATCTTTGCCCTCACTCTTGAATGATGGTTCAGCTTAGTACACAGTGTTAAATGGATGGCAGTTGTCCCTTAGCATTTCAAAAATATTACCCCGTTGTCTTCCAGAATCACTTGTTGAGGTCGATTCCAAGCAGAACTGTCTTCCTTTTGCTGCCGTTTTACCTTTTCTCTCCGGTAGCTTTTAATACTTTTCGCTCTATCTTTCATGCTTGTCAGTTTCATTGTGATGGGTCTAGATGTGGGTTTATTTCTATTTAACTTCTCCGACACTAAGGATCCACTTTTAATCGGAAAATTCACGTCTTCCATTCTGAAAAATTATTTTTTAGAAAACCGCTAATCTTTCTGTTCGTTTTTGAATTCTTAAATTCCTTTAAAGTGTGTTTCGGAGCCTTACATAACCTTTGATATATTTTTATTTGCTCTCCTTCTCTGTTCTTTTTCGGAGCAAGCTCAGCAGTATCTGAATTCTCTAGTTCTTTAATGACAGTCTAGAAGGTCCTCTTGTTTTTAAAGCGAAGGACTCTACGCATGATTGCTAGTTGTTACTGTTTTTAGTTGCTTCTTCTAGAGTTGTATCTGCTAGTCTGTGTTTCACAATTTTTTCTGTGTCTCTGAGAATCTTAAACAAAATGATTTCAGAATCACATGTAAGTTGTTTCTCTATTTTTATTTTTTCAAGACTGACCCAGTCTCCCACTTACGTGTTGATTTTGTTGACTCTCTTAGTGTTAGTTTCCTTGGGTGCTTTGGAACCTTGGTTTGCAGGTTTATAATTCTTCTTTGCTTCTTTTAGGACGACGCTTCCCTCTATGA